CGTGGCTTCAGTCAGCGGCAGGGAGTTGAGTACTTTCAGACCTTCTCTCCCACCCCGAAGATGACCACTCTTCGGGTGCTGCTGCACATAGCGGCTCAGCGCGACTACGAGCTTCACTCTCTTGACTTCAGCACTGCGTTCTTGCAGGGTAGCCTGCACGAGGAGATCTGGCTGTGCCACCCACCTGGCTTCACTTGGACTTTCCCTCCTGGCACCCAGTGGAGCCTCCGACGGCCAGTCTACGGTCTCCGTCAGGCACCGCGTGAGTGGCACGACACACTGAGGACTACGCTTGCGGCTCTTGGGTTTGCTCCCTCTACTGCTGACCCGTCGCTGTTTCTGCGCACCGACACTTCTCTGCCGCCGTTCTACATCCTCGTGTACGTCGACGACTTGGTCATTGCCACAGCGGACACTGCTGGACTCGCCTACGTGAAGTCCGAGCTGCTGAAGAGACACACGTTCACAGACCTGGGTGAACTGCGCAGCTATCTTGGCTTGCAGATCACTCGGGACAGAGCATGCCGCACCGTTACCTTGACTCAGTCACACATGGTGCAGCAGGTCCTTCAGCGCTTCGGCTTCACGTACTCCTCGCCTCAGGCCACTCCTCTGTCTACTCGCCACTCGCTCTCAGCTCTGCCTTCGGATGAGTCCGTAGAGTGGAGTGGCCCGTACCCAGAGCTTGTTGGCTGCCTCATGTACCTGATGACCTGCACTCGACCTGACCTTGCATACCCTCTTAGCATTCTTGCACACTATGTTGCTCCTGGGAGACACCGATCAGAGCACATGGCTGCAGCGAAGAGGGTGTTGCGCTACCTGTGCAGTACGTCGGGCATGGGGCTAGTACTTGGAGGGCGCAGTCCAGTGGTCCTTACGGGGCACGCGGACGCTTCTTGGGCTGACGACCAGGCTACGCAGCGGTCGTCACAGGGTTACACCTTCAGTCTTGGTTCCGGTTCTGTCTCGTGGCGGGCTACTCGCTCGTCTTCTGTCCTGAGCTCCAGTTGTGAAGCTGAGATCTACGCCGGGGCCATGGCTGCACAGGAGCTTCGCTGGCTCACCTACCTGCTGACTGACCTTAGAGAGCCGCCTCGTTCTCCTCCAGTGCTGTACGTAGACAACAAGGCCATGCTGGCCTTGTGTCGAGAGCAGCGCCTGGAGCACAGAACGAAGCACATTGCTCTCCGCTACTTCCTTGCTCGTGAGCTACAGCAGCGTGGACAGTTGCGACTTGCGTACGTGGCCTCTGAGGCCAACACTGCTGACGTGTTCACCAAGGCACTCGCGCCTTGTGACCATCAGCGCCTCTGCACTCAGCTGGGTCTTGTACCTGTCTTGCCTCACTTGCTCTCCTCTTGACCTTGCTTGTACTGTCACATATATATATCTGCTCTTGCTTATCTAGCTCTATATATATGTGTGTACTCCTGCATGTGAACTGGCCTTGTGGCCTTGTCATTGTGCTCGGACTGTGTGGTGACTTTGTGATCCACCCTGAGCTTGCTCTGCTTTGCTTGACTGGTCTTGTGACCCCTTGTTCTCCCCCACTTTGCCTATGGGGGTGTGTCAGAACTTTATGTCGTTTATGCTGCTGTGTAGGCTATAGTGGGGTATCCCATAGGGGGTACAACCCAATTAGGGTTTCCTATATGTACTCACTTCATTCATAGTTCATTCATTTTCGTTCTCTTCTTCTCATGAATGAACTAACAAGCAGGTGGGTACAAGTAGGAAAACCTAAAAGTGTTGTACCCTATATAGTATACCCCACAACAGCCTACACAGACTATAGCATATAAGTTTGCCATACACGACTGTACGGGACATATTTCATTGTCGTGTACAAATCACCAAAGAACATCATAAAAATATTAGACATTAATTGGATTTACAATGTTGAAGCAATGAATTATGTGAAGGCATTTTTAAGTAAGTGTTTTGCAGAATTGTATTGGCTATTTGCATATTTTAGATTTACATTACTTGTCTAATCATAGTGTAGCAGTACATTATGATACGAACCACTCCTGGACAAACGTGAAGTGTTTTTGCCAGATATCCAGAATTTTCGGAAATCCGACGAACCACGCTGCATCTAGTTTTTTGAGCACATTGAATGCCTGTGTTACGGGCTGTTTGCCCGAAAACATTATCGTGACAACTCCAACCAAAATTTTGGTAAATGCGCGCGATCAGAATCAACTCGGAGTCGGTGGGCAATTAGAAAACATTCTCGCCAGCAAATTGCGGGAACCTGATGTCGCCGAATTGTCTGCCAGCGAATTCCCGTCCAACACCCCTAGAGTTGCGATGTGGCGGGGGTGTCGGGCAAGCCAAGCGAGAGCCTCGGTCGTGGCCGTGCGTGCTTGCGAGAGAGCACTACGAGTGGCGGTGCTGTATCGCCGAGAGACGTCTACCCCCCCCCCCAAAAATTGAGATAGTGGGGAAGCGAAGGTGTGGATGCGGTCCGAGATGAGATCATAGGCTCTGAATACCAAGTGTTACGAGTGCAATTGAGTGAACGAACGAGAATTGCACAATCGAAGCAAGAATACAATGAGCGAAGGCATGAGCGAAGAATATATAGCGAAACTACAGTGGTAACGGTAATGGTTTGTGGTAGTCGCGCGACGAGCCTGGGACTGAGGTTGGGAAAGTGTCGAAGTGTAGGCCCGGAGCGCGGGTTACCAGCCGAGACGTGAGGTCGGGATGCGATGTGCGAAAATGGCGGGATGATTATGGATGCGATGATCGCGAGTGGTAATGGTGCTGACTGAGGTGCTACAGTGATGTACGCGTTGAGTAGGGATGCGGAGTAAGGAAAAGGGATTTTCCTTACAAGCAGCCAAGAATTTCGTAAGCCAGGATGAACTCGCGGCGTGCCATCAAACGACATGTCAATGAAGCGAAGTTTTGTGGCCCGGGAGATGCAAGAATTTGAGCGACCCTTCTTTTTGGCAGATTGTCTAGAGCTGCGCCTAAGGAAATTTTTTAAAGGCGAGGAGGAACTGAGAGAGAATGAGCTGGAGCGCCTTGAAAGAGGTGGTGGAGGCGTCGCGATATCTACGATCGCACTGAATTTCCATATGAGGACGGGTTCGAAGTGAAGTAGACATCCGTTGACATCTGATGTCGGTAAATCCTGACGGTTGGAACTTTCGATCCGAGGGTTGACATTTACCGGCATCCATTGACATATATTTGACGCTCCACTTCGGACACGCTCTAACATTGGCGCAGCACCAACTAGAATACTCCAAGGGACAGTTCGGCCAACCCTTAAGTTACAGGCCTAAAGCCTGTGGTGCATTTATTGAAGATCATGACTTGTTGCGGCTTGTTGTCATTCATCCCCTCACCTTCCTCACATGTTTCCAGCAGTGTCCCTCAAGCAGCAGATTTGCCTTCGACGAAATGGCGTTTACTGTAGTGAAACGTTTTGCTCGTTCGAATGATTACTCTTTCCGGGACGGAAACCAGTTTTCAGTGCGTTTCAGTGCGTTTTGATCTGTTTTCCACATGCCAATTGAAACTTCGACATGCGAAAGTGTGAGTTTCAGAAAATGTATTTCAACTGTACTTTGAATTTAATTATCGCTGCTGGGTGGTTGTGATTCTGTGTGTCATGTCGTGACGTGCATTGCCCTGATGGATGAGCTGGAGTCAGGGCTGACTTAAAAAATCCACTTCAGGCCACGGATCTTCAGGCACCAGAGGGCGCACTGCCTGACTTCTGCACACGGCAACGTGGTGATTCAGGCAGGCACAAAGCATTACCCCAGATCTTGTCATTCGGCCTCTAGGATTTTCGCCAATAGCCAGTCGGACATTGCGGTGACAAATGATCACCTCACATGGAGGCCCGGCTCTTGACACCTAGTTCCCAAACATGACACACACGACTGACCCCAGACTGAGGTTATGGCGGTGCTAGCCCGACTTTCCGAGCCTGCATTGCACCTCCGAGTGAAATCTGACCCGTACTTTGCACCTGCATCCTTCCTGCAGTTCCCGTCTAGCCCGGGGGGTTGCACCTCCCTGTCCCGCACTGCATCAGCGATACAGTTTATTTGAGACTTGTGGTTCGCATTGCATTCCATTCACACCTCACTTCGAGACTCTCGTTACCATAATGAGTTCACGCTAGCCTACGTCTGATTCCCCCAAAAACCCTGGTTTCTGACGTCAACGACGACGGAACGAATCTCTTTTTTATTAGCCACCTGATGCAATGAATGAGATCCTTTCAGCAACACGTTGCCATCTGCCCTTTCCTCCCCGACCGACCGGACCTCCCCCATTCTGCCTCACTTTTGGCTGCTAATAAATCTGATGCGCTAGTCCAAGCGCTGTTTACGCACTGTCCTTACATTTCGAATCTGCCCCAACAATTCCCCCCACCCGCCTCCCCTGGCACAGCAAACGCGGTTTCAGCACTTTCGCCGGTTTCTTCGGACCCATTTTCCTTTCCGCGCCAATCACAGCCACAGCCAGAACACGCGCCCGACAAATCACGTCTCTCTGGAGCCATACTCCTCCGGAGGTTGACACCATGGACGGAATCGACAATCGACGCGTCAGCTCCGCCAAGAAGCGCAACGCGCGAGTCTCCCCTCCCCTGCCATCCCAACTGGACATACAAAATGAGCCCCGCACCTCCACAATTTACAAATCAGCCCTGATTTTAGTCCAGTGGACACCAAAGTCGTGAGACCTACAGCTTCCAGAACAGCTAGATAATCTCGTCCAAGCAGGGTAAATCTCTTCTGAGCAGAGAGACAGTCCATTCTTGAGCTGCTTCTCCACGTGGCCACCTAGTTTCATCTGGCTTCTTGACATCCCATCTTCCAACTACCGATAGACCTTTTTTTTTTAAGGACGACTCCAGCTCCCATCGCTTCTGCCGAGTACGAAAGCAGTTTTCTCTGCTTTCAAACATCACCAACTTCAGTCGCACACTCCACGTGTTTCCCACACAACAATCATCAGCGGCCATGGCCTCAACTCTTATAATCCGTCCGCGTCCCACAGCGGAGCTTTTCGCACGCTACGCCTTCACAGAGACAATCGGCCAGGGTCATTTCGGAAAGGTATGGCGCTGCCTCGACCGCACGACGGGCGAGGCGCTCGCATGCAAGCAAGTGCGCAAGACCGGCCTTTCCGACAACGACTTAGCCGACCTCGAGCGCGAAATCTCCGCAATGCAGCTGCTGCAGGGCCACCGCCACGTTCTCGCTCTGCGCGGGCTTTTCGAGGATTCTAATAATGTGTACATGATCACCGACCTGTGCACCGGGGGCGATTTGTTCGATTTGATCGCGCGCACGGGCGGGCTCGACGAAGACACCGCGGCGCGGCTATTCGCACAGATTTCACAGGGCGTGCGATGGTGCCACGTGCACCGCGTCGTGCATCGCGACATCAAGCCCGAAAACATCCTCCTCGCCAAATCCCCGTCGTCGACTTCTTCACAATCCGCTCCCTCCAACACCGCCGCCAAGTCCGCCTCCGCCGCCGCAGCTGACGGTCTCGACGCGTGCCTCGCGGATTTGGGCCTAGCGTTTCAACTCGCGCCCGGAACAGCTATTATCGGAGTTGCTGGGAGCGCGCCGTACGAGGCGCCCGAGGTGCTCGCACGACAGCCGTACGATTTCAGCGCCGACATCTGGTCGCTTGGCGTGCTCCTCTATTCCATGCTCGCCGCTGGTTGGCCCTCGTTCCCCAACAACCGCCGCCAACTGCGCCCAGCCGTCGATTTCGCCGACGCGCCGTGGCGAACGGTCTCTCGCGAGGCGAAAGATCTCATCCGTCGTATGCTCACCCAAGACCAGTTCGAACGGTTGGATATCCACGGCGTGCTGCAGCACCCATGGCTCGCGTCGCGCGTCGCCGCCATCAGCCAGAATCGCAGAGCCTCCGCCGCATCCCCTGCTACTAAAACCGCCGCCCCCGCTTCTGCCGTTCCGGCGCCACAGAAAACCGCGCAAAAGCCTCCGCACCAGCCGCGGGAGGTGCAGCGCGACGCGCGGGAGGAGTCAAAGCAGTTGAAGCAGCAACACAGGGCGTTGTGTTCGTTTGATTCAGACAACTCCGTCGACTTCGACAATCACGAATCGCACCTCCCCGCTCTCCTCCCCGTGCCGACCGACGCAAGCTTCGCCAGGGAGTCGTGCGGAAATACCGCCGAGGAGTGCGACGCGCATAACCCTAAATTGCGCCTTCCGCTCACCTCCGCCGCTGCGCCTTGTGGCGCCGAGATCGCATCTGTCCGCAGAGCCGGCAACAATAGCCGCGAAGGCAGCGCGTCTAGTTTCGACTTCGTTCCGTCGCATTCTTCGTTCTCGACTACGTCGTCCGCATCGTCCGCGTCTTCCGTGTCGCATCGTTAACTACCGGCGCTGTGATGTCCAAGAATGTTCCAGCCTCTCACTTTTCGGGCGTTGACATTCTGGCGGCCTAAATGTTTGAGTTACTTTTGATACTTAGGTCTACACAGGATTTCCTTTGTATATTTAAAATATTCATATTCATTCTTTGTCAATAAGCTGCAAGCAAGGCAAAACGCTCTCTCATCTTCCACTTCCCCTAGGATTGTGAAGCAGTGGATATTTCTATAACTTGACCAACATTATCATAATAGATGCATTAGGAGCTTTCTAAGGAGGTGGGTAGGTGATGTTACTGAACATGTTTACCTGAGTGGTTGGCTTGTACGAGACTTGGTCAATCGCCATGTCTCATTAATTATGAAACCCCAATGTTACAAACTGGACGACAACTATTTAAGGGAAAACTTGCTACAAGCTTCTTTCCCTTCCACAAATTCCGCTCTCCCATTCCTACAACAAACTCCTCATCCTCACTTGTTAAATATACGAACATAAGATGATACTGCTGTTAGGTTTTACTCTAGTGTTCCTTTAGAAGACTCTCAGCCCTCCAATAATTGTACAATTATTGGAGGGTCAGAATTATTGGAGTCTAGAATTATTGGAGGGTAAGAATTATTGGCGGGTATAATTATTGGTATGGATAGGGCCATCCTGAGGGGGTTAGCTGCTGATAAATACCCTGCCCTGTCATTCCAGTGTATCAGTCAACTCCGTTATTCTCATTCTGGTTTCAACCATTCAGGGTCTTCCAGCCTTGCTCTTTCTACAAACTAGCTTCCGCAACGCCGGCATCATGCCTTTCTAGCATGGTATCAGAGCTACTCTAGGGGGCATGCTGCCAAAATTTCGTCAGAACTCAATCATCATCTACATTGGTTAAGAAGATTAGCAAATCTGCACAGCAAGTGGCAACACTTGGTGTGACGGCATGGCGCGGTTCGACGAGGAAGTTGATGCTGGAAACGAGGCGTTCGAAGAAGCAATCTTGGCTCAACATGAGCACCTGGAAAACATGATCGCAAGGGCACCACCGACACTCCAAGCATCATTGAGAGCAAGATTCAACATGGCAACCCAAGTTCGAGATTTCAACAACCCATCCATCCGTGGACAGTCACATGCAAGCACTCCGCGTGCTAACCAAACCCGCGCTTCAAATGTGGATGCAGGAATTGAAGGTGAAGGGGAAGGAAGCCTACCCCAAGAAGGAGAGTCATCCCAAGGGAGGGATGCATCCTTCCAAGGAGAGGGGAGCTCCCACCCCGAACCTCAACCAACCATGCAAAGGGAAGCAACGGGGAGGGATGATGAGTACGGGAGCGGAAGGGATGTGAGAGAACATGGTGATGGGATTGATGTGGGAAGAAACATGAGAGGTCAGATTGGTGAAGGGAGCGGTAGAAGCAGTCATGTGGGCATGGAGGGTGTGGGATTCGAATCCTACAATATTGGTGCTCCCCCACTGCGCCGACTTGCCACTAACTCTCATCCCATTGGAGTTCCCATAATGGGCAGATCTCACCGCTATGGCAACGTCGTACCTCCTCGTGCGCAATGGTCTCAACCGGAAGCTGTACCTGCAGGAAGCATCGGACGCATGGGGCACGGGATGCAATCAAATGGAGTTATGCGACGTGACCAAGTGGAGGTGGTGGAACGTGAGGGCACACAACGCACGGTGCAACTGCCTCGACCATCTACCGTGCCTACGCTTTTCGACCCGTCACCTCGCGAGTACACCGAAGAAGACAAAGACAGGCTGTCACGCAAGATGGTGGGAGCAGCGGTAGACAAGGTGTTCACAACAACCCCGTTTGACGGCACTAACTTTCGAGAGTGGGCTCTTCGGTTTCGCATGAACGCGCGCGTGACAAATATGTGGGAGTTTTTCGTGACATTACGATACCCGGTTACAATGGTGAATGGAGAAATGCAAGATGCAATGGAGCGGCTGGAAACTCTGCAAGCGGATTACTCCCAACGTGCTACGCTGGCTTTTTGGGTGCTTCTACATAGCGTGAGCGCAACAATTCAGCTACAACTGGACGTGTTCCAAGAGTCATACAGTCCGGCATTCGAAGCATGGGAGTACCTGATAGAAACTTACCAGGCGAAGGATTCGGTCGCAAAAGCGTCTCTCCAGAGGCAATTGGACAACCTGAAGATGGGGAGCCAAGAAAGGGTGGAGGAATATATCAACAGAGCAACTGCAATTCGGGACAAGCTGGCAATCGCAGGAAAATTGGTGGATGAAGATTCATTCACTTTGAATCTGATTACCGGGCTGCCGCCGCATTGGGAGGAGCTAAGGCACTCGGCAATGCTACACGACATCTCAGACAGTTACACACTGCAGCGAATGATGATTCAAGAACAACGCTACCAAGACCTCATTAGCAAAACCAACCGTGATAAGCGTCCGCCTCACATGGCTGGTCAGGCACGTGGAGACACTTCACCAGCAAAGGAGAGAGCTGAGGGCAACCAGAATACGGTAAGGCTAACGGGAGGACAGCATGCGACGGGTGGAGAAAAATTCAAAGGCAACGAAGGAAAGGGGGGGCGGTCAAACCTCGTGTGTTGGTACTGCAAGGAGTCTGGCCACCCGTTCTACAAGTGTCCGAAGGCACCTCCGGGTTGGTCACCACCAGGTTGGGAACCACAAAACAGAGGGAGGACAAATCAACGCACCTGGAGTAGCCGATCTTCTTCGCCTCGAAGGAGTGAAAGCCCGAAACATGACAACCAAGCATCAAAACAGCAAGGGGCGGCTGGGGGAGACAACAAGCGAACCGTTACATGCGTGGCAACGGTTCGATCGTCGCAAGCAACATTACCAGCCGCCGGAGGGTCGATGTGGTTGCTGGACAGCGGATGCAGCCAACACATGACTGCAGAGAGGGAGTGGTTTGAAGGATTAGAGGAGTTGGCCAAACCTGTTTATGTGGAGCTTGCTGATGGGAGCCATCTCTTGAGCTCGATGGCAGGAACAATTCGAGCAACGGGACCTGATGGAACAACAGTACATTTCACCGACGTGCTCTATGTCCCCGGCTTGAAGTCCAACCTCCTCTCCTATTGCCAACTGCACAAAAAGGGAGCACGGATTCGCACTCGAGACGACGGACACATCGTGATTACTATGGCTGTTGAAGATGAGCATGTGGTCATTGGGGTTGGGATGATCATGCATGGTGTGCTCATGGTGCAATATGAGCCTGCGCTTGCACCTGCCCATGAATTTGATCATGACCATGAGAATGGTGCATCGCATGAGCATGATCATAATGAGGTGCATACACTTTCTGCTCATGCTTCCATCACTTATCGCATGGCCCACAAGCGTTTGGGTCACCCATCATACACATCCATGGATGCCACATTTCGGAATGGGGATGTCGAAGGACTCACCATATCAGACAAGGTCAACCCCCTCAAACCCCCGTGTGACTCATGCCTTCGAGGGAAAATGAGCAGGGCCCCATTTCCCACAAGTGAAGACAAGCGGACTACTCGACCTTTGGAACTCGTGCATAGTGACATCATGGACTTGGGTGACACTCACCCCTCCCTTCGCTATGTGCTGACGCTCAAAGACGACTACACCAACTACCTGTGGGTGGCGCCGTTGGCTCGTCGTTCCGACATGGCAGCTGTCTTTTCGACCTGGCACCGCGAGATGAAGACCAAGCTGCCAACGAAGCCTCTGGCTGCCTTGCGCACGGACAACGGAGGGGAGTACACAGCCAATGCGTTCACGGATTACCTGAGTTCTCAAGGCATCAATCACCAAACGTCTTTACCATACACGCCGCAGCAAAATGGAGTCGCCGAGCGGGTTAACCGCACGCTCATGGACCGTGTGCGTGCAATGACTACCGGAGCCAGCCTTTCATCCAAGTTTTGGCCTTATGCGCTGGAGTATGCCGCATGGTCACACAACCGCATCAGCTGCAGCAGCAACCCCTCCGCACACTCACCGTACTTCATGATGACGGGGAAGGCTGCAAATGTCTCCATGGCAAGGACCTTTGGATGCCTCTGCTACTATCTCCCTCCCCAAGGTAGCTTCGGGAAGTTTGAGCAACGAGGACGGGCAGGCATGTTTCTCGGCCTCTCTAACTCACGCAAGGCATGGATCGTCCGGGACTTGGCAAGCGACGTCGACACGGACACACGCTCAGCTCGTTTCTTTGACGAACTCATGCTCCCAGACGCCGAATCCCTCCTCGAACGCCAACGGTACATGGATGAAGTCTCACCTCATATCTCGGAGTGGACGTCAAGGGGAGACGGCGTTGGGTCAGCATTTGACTCCTTTCCCGCAGCCCACACTTCCTCCCCATCATCCTCTGACGCCGCTACAGCAGAACAACATGGAACTAAGGCAAATGACACCACTCAAGAAGGCTCACCAGCAGCTAGTGAAGCTGATACAGGAGAAGAGACAACGACAAATGACTTACCGGCAGCAGGCATCTCTGTTTGGAAAGGTGCAGACAACAATGAACCAGACAATGACGCAAGTCATCTCTATGACTTTGCCTACCCACCCGATGGGATCCCGCTGGCGGCTCCTAACGTGCCACCACGGCGGGTTCACTTCAACCCAACGGTCACAGTGCTTGGAGAAGGACAAGGGACGGACAACATGACAGGCCTGGATGTACTGTTTGGGAAGCGACAGGCAGGACTCACAGTCACACGGTTTCCTAACTTGCAGCAGCAGAAAGTACTGGGATGTGCAGCAACCGGCGTCCCCATGGTGGAGCTGACATACAAAGAGCCAAAAACACTTCAAGACATGACCAACGACCCGTACGCACCTCTTTGGCAGGCCGCAGTAGATGCAGAATTGGCCAAGTTCGACGAGCTGGACGCATATGAAGTAGTGGACAGATCGGACGTACCCAAGGGAACACCAGTGTTGACGGAAGGAGTCGTCTTGAGGGTGAAACGTGATGAGCATGGACAACCTAACCGGTTTAAAGCACGCTGGGTGGTCAAGGGATGCGGACAGACATGGGGAACATACGATGGGACGTATGCACCAGTCAGCCAAGGACCTACCTCTCGCTTATTCGTTGCTGGGGCGTCAGCTACGAAGCGCAAGGTGGTGCAACTGGACATTTCTAATGCTTTCCTGTACGCTCCAATCGACCGGGACATATACGTGAGGCCACCAGAACCAAGGCGGGACGGAGACAAAGTCTGGAAACTCAAGAGAAGTGTATATGGGTTGAAACAAGCCCCACGTTTGTGGCATCAGCACTTACGAGGAGTCTTGTTGGAGCTGAACATGGTGCAATCTGAATCTGACCCAGCCTTATTTATCTGGGAACGAGAAGGGAAGGACACGGTGTGGCTACTCACCTACGTTGACGACATCCTCATCCAGTCTGAAGGCATTGAAGCTGTGATTCATCATCTGAAGCGGAACTTTACCTTGACCATCAGCGAGACCATGACGCAGTTTTTGGGGCTCAACGTGGCTGCTGACAAGGACTCGATCTCGCTCGGACTCACAAAATACATCTCACAGGCTTTGGCGACCTTCGGGATGGAGGGCAGCCGTTCCGGAGTTCGAACACCGATCACCAAAGAACCTGGACCACAAGGAGAACCACCGGACGATATTGATGGTCAGCTGGTGCTGAGGCAAGTTGGGACATTGCTGTACATCTCAACGGCGGGGAGACCGGACATCACCTATGCAACACATGTGCTGGCCAGCCAAGCAAGCAAACCAACAGCGACAACAGTACTTGGAATCCACAGGGTGTTCAACTACTTCCAGAACACTGCAGACATGGGGCTCGTCTATGGCGGCGGGGACTTGGTACTCCGCGGATACACTGATTCGGATTATGCGAACGAAGCAGGGCGTCACTCCGTTGGAGGCTACGTGTTTACCTTGGGAGGAGCTGCTGTCAGTTGGAGGACTGAACGTCAAACGGTCATTGCAACATCAACAGCTGAAGCAGAATACATTGCACTGTTTGAAGGGGCAAGTGAAGCTACATACCTTCGCCGCTTGTGTGACGACCTCGGTTTTTGACAGCAAGAACCTACCGTCCTCTTTGTGGATAACCAAAGCGCCATTGCCCTTGCAACCGGGGAGCAGATGAGTCAACGCATCAAGCACATGGACGTACGTTACCATTGGATGAGGAAGGCCATTCGTGATGGCGTTGTGCGACCGGAGTACTGCCCAACAGCTCAGCAAGCTGCAGACTATCTCACCAAGCCTCTCACAGCAACACAACATCTCACCTGCAGCCGCTTGTGCGGCCTCCAACCGATTCCACCTGGAGAATTGTCTGCCACCAATCAGCAGATTGATGGTGTTGACGCTGCGATCTCCCGTCCAAGCTCTTCAATGGTTGCTGAACAACAAAGCATCACGTAACTCCACGCATCTCACTCTTGTGTTTGGTGTTATGTGCGTGCTCCGGCATGTGCAGAAATACAAACACACGAGTGAGAGGGGGAGTGGGGTGTGGAGTATCTTGGGGTGCAACCACTCAGGATTTGATCTTACAACCATTTTTTTGCCATCACACAAGTCAGCACATATGCATCAAGCGAAGACCTACTACAATCCATGACAAGATCAGCCATCCAATTCTGCTGGACAGTCGCTGCTTGTCGGTCACAACCACTCGCCAACTGCAACAGCCGTTCCTGAAGACTTCATATGCCTGCTGGTTTCAGGGGGAGAAGAAACAAGTCAGCATGAGGCAAGCAGACAGAAGGAATCACAAGAGGAAGTTGACAAAGTCCTACTAAATACAAGGGAAGTCAGCTGGAGTCAAGCACTGCTGGGACTGCTCACCAAGATGACACAGGTGCTGCAGGGCGTCAGGGGGAGCTGCTGCAAGCGACCCGGTGATGCTGCTGGGACCAGTCAGGTGGTGCTGCTGGCACGGTGATGCTGCTGCCACCAGTCAGGTGGTGCTGCTGGCAGACGTTAACAGAAGCAGCCGCCAGGAGCAGAAGCAGCCGCCAGGAGCAGAAGCAGCCGCCAGGAGCAGATGCAGCCACCAGATGCTTGCGTACCAGTTGCAGCTGCCTCCGGGGGTCACCTGGTATAGGGGGAGAAGCACAGGGTCATGAGGAGCAGCACAGGGGCACGAGGAGCAGCACAGAGTCATGGGAAGCAACACAGAGTAACAAGGTAACATGGGTGAAACTGACAGATTCAACCAAGCATTCTCACCTCGGTCGGTAGGAGAAAGCCGTGCGCCGCCATAAGTAGCAGCAGTGGGCCGCCAAGTAGCAGCCATGCGCTACCAGGAGCTGCAGACGTATGGGCCAGAGTGCCAGGTGCCGATGCCGGCTGCAGCCGCTCACGCTCGCTAGCTGGTATGGGCGGGGGCAAGGAATATCACAAGAGAATGTGGGAGCAGTAACAAGCGACTTAGCACGGCTAGTGCTGCAGTACATCAATTGCAAGAAACACACATGAGTGAGGTCAAGGTGCAAGCAGTGGTAGTTACACGGAGAAGGGCAACTCACCTCGTCACGACAGAGTAGGCACGCAGCTGCAGCGGTGCGGCGTCGGAAGCTGCTGGTGTGAGAAGGCCCCGCACCTGCCAAGAGCCAAGTGTCGCAGTGCAGATGCTGCCACACGAGCACAAGGTCGCCCGAAATGGCAAGGGGAGGGCACGCACCAGCAGAAGCCGCCACATGCGAGGTAATGCAGCGGCGCGCATGCTGCTGCAGTCGTGCGCCAGTCGCTGCTGCCGATCACCACGGGCGCCATGAACAGCAGTCGCGGATCTGGCCGCAGCCTCAGGAAACGCGCATCCGGCGCTGCAGGTCGTCACGTGCGCTGCTGTCACCGAGCACCAGCCATGACATGGCGAGCGCTAGTGATGCGCGCAGCTGAAGGACATCGCGCAATGGCGCAGCAAATTCGTCGCGACTAAAGCAGCAGTCGCGCGATAGCAAAGGAAATCGGGCCAGCACTGGAAGGCGGAAAAAGCAGCACGTCATGCAGTCCTAACGTTTCGGTGAAAAAAAAAAAAAAAAAAAAAAAAAAAAAAAACGGGCATAGTCTCATCAGCAGCAGCGGCAGGAAACGATGAACAAGAAATTGAACGGGAGGAGGTGCTGAGAAACCCTGAGACAATCTGTCGAGAATGAGCCTGAATGACGAGTCTGGAAGACCCCTGCTGAGCGAGAACCGAGAGATTGCGGGGAGAATTGCAACCCAGGGCGTAGCACTGCTGGAATCACCTGAGAAGCGAGACGTGCACCTACTCAGCTTGGATCGTGCAGCCGTATGGTTCCCGCAGACACTTTCTCAACGGAACGTTCGAAACCCTAGCAGGATGGATCAATCAACAGTCACTGCCGTGATCACCGCCACCACCGAAATCACCGCCGCAATCAACGCCGTTACCACAAATTCAACCGTCAATTCCAACGTATCCTCCATTCAGTCACGCCTCAGTAAAACCTACAGCAAGGGGGAGTGTTAAATATACGAACATAAGATGATACTTATGCTGTTAGGTTTTACTGTAGTGTTCCTTTATAAGACTCTCAGCCCTCCAATAATTGTACAATTATTGGAGGGTCAGAATTATTGGAGTCTAGAATTATTGGAGGGTAAGAATTATTGGCGGGTATAATTATTGGTATGGATAGGGCCATCCTGAGGGGGTTAGCTGCTGATAAATACCCTGCCCTGTCATTCCAGTGTATCAATCAACTCCGTTATTCTCATTCTGGTTTCAACCATTCAGGGTCTTCCAGCCTTGCTCTTTCTACAAACTAGCTTCCGCAACGCCGGCATCATGCCTTTCTAGCAGTTGGCTTGTACGAGACTTGGTCAATCGCCATGTCTCATTAATTATGAAACCCCAATGTTACAAACTGGACGACAACTATTTAAGGGAAAACTTGCTACAAGCTTCTTTCCCTTCCACAAATTCCGCTCTCCCATTCCTACAACAAACTCCTCATCCTCACTTGCCTCTTCTTCCATCAGTCACTTTGGCTAAACGCATGGTGGGGGGTGTCACCAGGTGTGCCTTGAGATGCGTCACAAGGTGTCTCACCAGGTCCATCACGAGGTGCGTCGACATGTGTGTCAATGGGAGTGTCAAAAGGTGCACCAAGAGAAGTGTCACCAGGTTCGTCACAAGACGTGTCACGAGGTGTGTCACCAGGTGCGCCATGAGCCGCATCGTATGGTGCGACATGAGGTGCATCAAGAGGTGTGTCACGGGGTGCAGTTCCGGTTCGCTCTCTCGCCCTGCGCTGCTGTTGCGCTTCCATGCGGCCCCACCCCAGGTCAGACAGAGGAATACCCATGGACGCTGCCAAACCCACCAGACACTTGTTGTAAGAGAAATCCGAGCATGCAGGAGAGGCGGGAACGGCAGGAGCAGGAGTAGAAGGCAAAACAGGAGGAGTGGGAGCGGGAGGAAGAGGAGGAGGAGGAGGTGGAGGGAGGGAGGGAGAGGGAGGGGACGCAGTGGGAGAGAGGGTCGGCTGGGAAGGTTCGGGAGGAGGCGAGGCAGGGAGCGTGGAAGGGGAAGCAGGGGGAAGGGAGGTAGGTAGTGCGGAGGGGGACGGTTGGGAAGGGGAGGCAGGAGCGACCTGTGGGGAACATCTGGGAGAGTGCTGAGAAGAGTTGTCTGCTGGCTCGTGGGATGAGTCAGGAGCGGGAGGAGGATGGACGATGGAGTTGGCAGCAGGGTGGACGATGCTGGGAGAGTGCTGAGAAGAGTTGCCCGTGGGCTCGTGGGATGAGTCAGGAGCGGGAGGAGGATGGACGATGGAGTCGGCAGCAGGGTGGGTGATGCTGTTGGCAGCAGGGTGGGTGATGGTGTCTGCAGCAGGGTGGGTGATGCTGTCGGCAGCAGGGTGGGTGATGGTGTCGGCAGCAGGGCGGGTGATGCTGTCGGCAGCAGGGTGGGTGATGGTGTCGGCAGCAGGGTGGGTGATGGTGTCGGCAGCAGGGTGGGTGATGGTGTCGGCAGCAGGGTGGGTGATGGTGTCGGCAGCAGGGTGGGTGATGCTGTCGGCAGCAGGGTGGGTGATGCTGTCGGCAGCAGGGTGGGTGATGGTGTCGGCAGCAGGGTGGGTGATGGTGTCGGCAGCAGGGTGGGTGATGGTGTCGGCAGCAGGGTGGGTGATGGTGTCGGCAGCAGGGTGGGTGATGGTGTCGGCAGCAGGGTGGGTGATGGTGTCGGCAGCAGGGTGGGTGATGCTGTCGGCAGCAGGGTGGGTGATGGTGTCGGCAGCAGGGTGGGTGATGCTGTCGGCAGCAGGGTGGGTGATGGTGTCGGCAGCAGGGTGGGTGATGGTGTCGGCAGCAGGGTGGACGATGAAGAAACAGGTGGTGTTGGGGTGGTCTGGATGATGGTCCACCTGTGGAGGTGGTGATAGGGAAGGGCGGGAGGGGCAGGGGGGTAGGGTTGAGGCGAACGATGGCATCAGTGGCAGGGTGGGCGATGGAAAAATAGATGGTGTTAGGGTCTTCTGGATGATGGTCCACCTGTGGAGGTGGGGAGGGGCAGGAGCAGGCATTTACAAGGCGCCAATACACATGGTTTCAAGGAAGAGAATGGTGCTGGGGTGCTCTGGACTGGACTGTGGTGGGGTCCCTGACAAAAAGAAAGACGGAAAGAACCTTCGTACCTGTGGCTGAATGCACCCAGACTCCACACACTCACCCAGACTCCACACGCTCACCCAGACTCCACACACTCACCCAGACTCCACACACTCACCCAGACTCCACACACTCACCCAGACTCCACACGCTCACCCAGACTCCACACACTCACCCAGACTCCACACACTCACCCAGACTCCACACACTCACCCAGACTCCACACACTCACCCAGACTCCACACGCTCACCCAGACTCCACACGCTCACCCAGACTCCACACGCTCACCCAGACTCCACACGCTCACCCAGACTCCACACGCTCACCCAGACTCCACACGCTCACCCAGACTCCACACACTCACCCAGACTCCACACGCTCACCCAGACTCCACACGCTCACCCAGACTCCACACGCTCACCCAGACTCCACACGCTCACCCAGACTCCACACGCTCACCCAGACTCCACACACTCACCCAGACTCCACACACTCACCCAGACTCCACACACTCACCCAGACTCCACACGCTCACCCAGACTCCACACACTCACCCAGACTCCACACACTCACCCAGACTCCACACACTCACCCAGACTCCACACACTCACCCAGACTCCACACACTCACCCAGACTCCACACGCTCACCCAGACTCCACACGCTCACCCAGACTCCACACGCTCACCCAGACTCCACACGCTCACCCAGACTCCACACGCTCACCCAGACTCCACACGCTCACCCAGACTCCACACGCGCACCCAGACTCCACACGCTCACCCAGACTCCACACGCTCACCCAGACTCCACACGCTCACCCAGACTCCACACGCTCACCCAGACTCCACACGCTCACGCAGACTCCACACGCTCACCCAGACTCCACACGCTCACCCAGACTCCACACGCTCACCCAGACTCCACACGCTCACCCAGACTCCACACGCTCACCCAGACTCCACACGCTCACCCAGACTCCACACGCTCACCCAGACTCCACACGCTCACCCAGACTCCACACGCTCACCCAGACTCCACACGCTCACCCAGACTCCACACGCTCACCCAGACTCCACACGCTCACCCAGACTCCACACGCTCACCCAGACTCCACACGCTCACCCAGACTCCACACGCTCACCCAGACTCCACACGCTCACCCAGACTCCACACGCTCACCCAGACTCCACACGCTCACCCAGACTCCACACGCTCACCCAGACTCCACACGCTCACCCAGACTCCACACGCTCACCCAGACTCCACACGCTCACCCAGACTCCACACGCTCACCCAGACTCCACACGCTCACCCAGACTCCACACGCTCACCCAGACTCCACACGCTCACCCAGACTCCACACGCTCACCCAGACTCCACACGCTCACCCAGACTCCACACGCTCACCCAGACTCCACACGCTCACCCAGACTCCACACGCTCACCCAGACTCCACACGCTCACCCAGACTCCACACGCGCACCCAGACTCCACACGCTCACCCAGACTCCACACGCTCACCCAGACTCCACACGCTCACCCAGACTCCACACGCTCACCCAGACTCCACACGCTCACCCAGACTCCACACGCTCACCCAGACTCCACACGCTCACCCAGACTCCACACGCTCACCCAGACTCCACACGCTCACCCAGACTCCACACGCTCACCCAGACTCCACACGCTCACCCAGACTCCACACGCTCACCCAGACTCCACACGCTCACCCAGACTCCACACGCTCACCCAGACTCCACACGCTCACCCAGACTCCACACGCTCACCCAGACTCCACACGCTCACCCAGACTCCACACGCTCACCCAGACTCCACACGCGCACTCAGACTCCACACGCTCACCCAGACTCCACACGCTCACCCAGACTCCACACGCTCACCCAGACTCCACACGCTCACCCAGACTCCACACGCTCACCCAGACTCCACACGCTCACCCAGACTCCACACGCTCACCCAGACTCCACACGCTCACCCAGACTCCACACGCTCACCCAGACTCCACATGCTCACCCAGACTCCACATGCTCACCCAGACTCCACATGCTCACCCAGACTCCACACGCGCACCCACCTAGATTGCCGCCACGCCAAGAGCCATCTTCTCGAGCGCCCTGGGGTGGTGCAGTAGCAGCTCGCTCGCCGGTGCAACTTAAACACCCACTCTCTCGCCCACACGCACACCCACATTCACCCACCCACCTTGATTGCCGCCACGCCAAGAGCCATCTTCTCGAGCGCCCTGGGGTGGTGCCGCAGCAGCTTGCTCACAACGAAGTCACGGTCCTCTGCAGAGAGCACCTGCTCCGGGTGGTACCTCACGTGCAGCAGCTCCCACGCCCGCCGCCTCACTGCCTGGAGCATGTCCATTGCATCGTACCTCCCATCGTCCTCGTCCCCCATGTACACCCGCACTCTGCTTCTCCTGCCTTGCTGCTGCTGCCGCTGCTGCTGAGACTCTTGATGCTGAGCTGGCTGCCTCTCCTCTTCAATGCAAGCCTCTGGAGCAACATCAACACCAGGTGCGTCATGGGCGTCAGCACCCGCATGAGCGTCGGATAAAAGGGTACTAGCAGGAGCTGCAGCAGTGTTGGGGTTATCAACATCGCACGCAACAACAGCAGCAAGAGCAGCAGCAGGGGTTTCAGCATCAGCAACAGCAACAGCATCAGCAGAAGCATCAGAGCGCCCTTCCGTGCCTGTCTCCTCTTCCTTCCGCTCCCTCCACTGCTTCAGCTGCTCTGCCAGCACTCGTCGCAGGCTCACCCCTTCCGCTGTCACCTCTTGTCCCCCCTCTGCCGTCGCTTCTCCCGCCTCTGCCCTCCTATCGGCCCCTTCTGCCCTCTCTTCTGCCCCTTCTTCCGCCTTCTCTTCTGCCCTTTCTTCTCCCTTCTCTACTGCCCCTACTTCTCCCCTCCCTTCTGCCCTATCTGCCTTCCCTTCTGCCGCTTCTGCCCCTTCTGCCCTCTGCTCTGCTTTCTGTCCGCATCGGTCAAGGAAGACAGGCAGAGAGGAGGGGTGCAGACCCGGCAGCATGGTTGTCGGGTGCTGTGACAAGGAGGAGGCCAGGGAGGCGGCCATATGTGGAGGAGGAGGGGGAAGAGGAAGGGGTGGAGGAGGAGGAGAGGCGTTGGGAGCTGGAGTCGGTGTGAGGGAGTCATGAGGAGGTTGGAGAGGAGGAGGTGGGGGAGGAGGAGGGAGGCTAGTTGACTCACGAGCCGGGAGGGGAGGAGGAGGAGGAAGGTGCGAGTGTGGAGCGGAGAAAGGCGGAGGTGGAGGAGGAGGAGGAAACAAGGCATCTCCAGAAGCATTTCCTTCATTCGCCTCTCCGTCTCCCTCTCTCCGTGCACCCAGAAGCCGTCCCAGCAGGGACCCCAGAAGAAACTGTGACAGGGGCAGGTCGGAGCAGAGAAGCGGGTGGATGTGGCGGCGGGGCCGGTAGTACAAGGGGTGGTCGGGCGTGTGGGGATGATTGGCCTTGCGCCTGGGCTTGTGCTGGTGAGCCAGAGAGGGCGCTCCTGTGCCGCCCCATGATCCCCCACCCTCACTCTTTTTCCCCCCTGCATCGCCCCATGCTCCTCCGCCCTCACTTCTTTCCCCCACCGCTTTGCCCCATGCTCCCCCACCCTCACTCTTTCCGCCCCCTGCGCTCCCCCATGCCCCCCCACCCTCATTCGTCTTTTCCCCTGCGCTCCCCCATCCTCCTCCGCCCTCACCCGTTTCTCCTCCTCCTGCTTTCCCCCATCCACCTGCACTCTCCCCTTCTCCTCCCGCCCCCCACCCTCCCTTCTGCGCCTGATCACTGCCCCACCCTCCCTTCTGCGCCTGATCACTGCCCCACCCTCCAACTCCTCCCTCACCTTCTCCTTCTCCTCCCGCTTTCCCCCATCCACCTGCGCTCTCCCCTTCTCCTCCCGCCCCCCAACCTCCCTTTTCCCCTTGATCGCCGCCCCACCCTCCAACTCCCCCCTCCGCATTTCCCCACCCTGCCCCTGCGCCCTCTCCCCCCTTACCACCCCCTCCTGCGGCCTCTTTCCCCCAAGCATCCCCCCCAAAGCCCCACGCTCCCTCACCTTCCCCCACACCTCCCCACCCTGCCCCTGCCACCTCCTTCGCTGTATCCTCTCCTTTCCCTTTCCCCTCTCTCCCCCACCCTCCACCGCCATTCTCATTACTACCCCATCCGCCTCTCTCTTCCTTCCCACCAGCAGCAGCAGCACCACCAGCACCGGAACCGTCAGCAGCAGCAGCAGCAGCAGCAGCAGCAGCAGAATCACCCCCTGAGGTCCATCCCTCCCGCTCACCCCCCTCTCGCCCTCGCACTCTCCCGCCACCCCAGAGGGGCTCCACTGTGCCCCACCGCCCCAGCCTGAACCGCCGCCGCCCCTTGCCCCTGCCCCCCTGCCCGCCACCCCCCATGCACAGCAGCTCTGCCAGCGCAGCTTCATGCACCGCATCCTCCTCCTCTCCCTCCCACCTTCCCTCCTCCTCCCACCCTCCTTCCTCCTCGCTTTCTTCCACCCCTCCCTGCCCCGGTCCTTGCCCCCATCCGTGAGCATGCTTCCCCTCGTGTCCCATGCTGTCACCCCCCCAATCGGCTCCTCCTCTCCAGTTTCCCCCTCCCCCATAACCTCCCCCTCTTCTTCCTCCGCTTCTACCCCCTTCTCCCCGTCCCCAAGCTTTACCACCTTCCCCATCCCCCTCTCCCCCCCATCTCCCCCCTCGGCCCCGTCCCCTTCCCCTCCCCCGCCCACCCTGCCACCTCTCACGCCCTCCTCCCTCCCATCCTCCCTCCCCTCTTCCCTTCCCTCCTCTCTCACTGTCTTGATCTCGCACACTCCCTCCCACCGCGTCCCATCCCCCACCTTCCTTGCCCTCCCCACTCCCCTTCGCCTCGCCCCATCCGCCCTTCCCTGACTCCTCCTCTCCCCTTTTTCTTCCCCATGCACCTCCTTCCGCCTCCCCCCATCCCCCCCATGCACCTCCCCCCACCTCCTTCTCTCCCCCCCATGCACCTCCCTCCTTCCCCGTCTCTCCCCCCCATCCCCCTTTCTCCCCATCTGCCCCCCCCCAGCCCCCTCCCTCCTCAACCCCTTTCGACCCTCCATCTCCCCATTTACCCTCCTCCCCTCCCCTTCCTCCCCACCCACCTCCCCCTCCCCCATCCCCATCCCGTCCCCCTCCTCCCGTGCCCCATCCTCCCCCCTCTTTCTCTCCACTTTTCCCCCATGCATCCCCATCCCCTCCGTCCCCTCCCGTGCCCCATCCTCCCCCCTCTTTCTCTCCGCTCTTCCCCCAAGCACCAACACCCCCTTCCCCTCCCCCCGTGCCCCATCCCCCCTCCTCTTTTTCTCCGCTCTTCCCCCACCCACCACCATCCCCTCCCCCTCCTCCCGTGCCCCATCCTCCCCCCTCTTTCTCTCCACTCCCCCCCCAAGCACCACCATCCCCTTCCCCTCCCCCCGTGCCCCATCCCCCCTCTCCTCCACCTCCGCTTCCTCCCCACCCACCACCATCTCCACCTCCTCCCCCCCATCCCCCATCCCCTCCTCCTCCGCTGCCCCATCCCCCATCACCAGCAACAGCAGCAGCATCCCCACCCACCCCCCAGCCACTAGCACCCCCACCACCCCACCCACCAGCAGCAGCACCGCCACCCCACCCACCGGCACCAGCAGCTGCAGCATCGGTAGCACCAGCTTTAGCCGCAGCTGCAGCAGCAGCAGCTGTAGCAGCAGGAACAGGACCGGGAGGAGGAGGGGGAAGTGGGGCGTGGAGGATCAAATCGAAGCACGGGGTGGCGGTGCCAGCTGGCATGGGCTTGCCGGCCGCCACGCTGGCAACGACGCTTGCCAGGCTGTCAGACGCGTGCTGGATGGCTGCTGACGTGAATGTGCGCACCGGGTCCTGAATCGAGCATGAAAGGGAGAGGGAAGAGGAGAGAAGAGGTAGGAAGGGTGATGTTTTTATGTTTGTTTGTTTGTTTTTTTGAGTGCTTGAAAAAGCAACTCACCTTGACACAGGCCCGGAGGAAGGGCGAGGAGGCAGGGTGGGAGGCGAGGGCGGCAAAGGACACGCCCTGGAGGGCCCCTGTGACAGTCATCCAGTCCGTTACCAGCGCAAGATGGCGCAGAGGCACCTTCGCCCCTGCTTCCCTCATCAGCTCACACAGACGCTGATAGGAGGGAAGGGGTTTGTGTGGGGTTGATGGAAGGAGGAAGCAAGTGCGGAGAGATGAGATTAGAGGAAGCAAATTGATGTTTCTGACGAAGGAAGTGAACAGACGATGGGATGTGCGACGAGTCAGACTTGCATACGTGAGCAGCAGAGTACGAAACGTAGCAGCGCATTCGAGCACCACGATGAGATGTGAGTCCATCGTCTAGGGCATATTGGGGGGAAGCACGGAAGACTGACATTGCTTCAAAGATAGAGGACAGACAAAAGCTGATTCATGTCCGGTGCCGCCGCCCCAAAGTTCAAAAGAGATGAGGCAATAACAATCTTCTCTTTTGAGTTTTGAGGCGACAACTTCTGGCTTGAAGCACTTCCTCTCTGCCTTCACCAATGAAACGATATCAATTCCCTTTCCCAACAAGCCCCCAGCGATGGACCCTCACCTCAACGTGGTGCTCGGTTACATCAGGATCAACCTCTTTAAGGAGAGAGAAAAGTGGTTGAAGAGGGGCGGAGAGAGGGGTGGTTACTCACGTGAAACAACACAGAGCGAACAGCTTCGATGCCAAGCGACTCTGCCACCTGCTGCAATCCCTCCGGGCGGCTCTTGGCCCAGTCGATGCCGTCATTGCAGTCAGCAGCCGCACAGGCAGCAGCGATGCCTGGCAACACCGCACGAGAGGAGAGGAGAGAAACGGCGAGGGCGAGATGTCCACCACTGCTGCTGCTGCTGTTGCTGTCGCTGCTGCTCTTGTTGTTGCTGCTGCTGTTGCTGTCGTCCCCGTCCTGCCACTGTATGTGGGCTGCGTGGATGGCTGTGCTGCCTGTATGGTTCATTCAGTTCAGTCCCACGTGGCAATCACATGCCACAAGCGCCCGGACAGACATGCAAACACATGCACACACAGAGACAGACGAGAGAAACAAACGCACAGTTGGCAACCAGATAAAACTAATCTGAAGATGGATAACCCACTCTAAGATAGCCCACTCTAAGATAACCCACTCTAAGATAACCCAGATCGCTTCACAGACTCACTCAAAACACAAAGGCCATTCTGAGTGTTGGAACAGGCTGGAGCAGATCACCTGCAACCAGTGTGTTTTTTTTTTGGGTTGATTTTGAGAATTCGCAAAATCAACCTAAAAAAAAAAAAAAAGAACAGGCTGGAACAGATCACATGCAACCAGTGTGTTGAGCACACTCGGCGCAACCACAACCCTCAGCGCCTCCAAATCAAACAGCGCCCCCCACCCACCCTCCTTTTGCTGGGCGTCTTTTAGAGTTCTAAGAAAAAAGAATCTGAAGCAGATCACCTGCAACCAGCGTGCTGAGCACACTCGGCACAACCACCTCTCTCAACGCCTCCAAATCAAACAGCGCCCCCCACTTGTTCTCCTCCTCTCCTCCCTCCTCCGCCTCCTCCTCTCGCCCAGCACCTCTCCCCTCCTGCCCTCTATCCCTATGAGCCAGGCCTCTGAGGGCAGGTCGTGCGAGCACCACGTGCACACAGGCGCCCTGACAGGCAGAAGTGGTGGGGTCACGGCAGGTTGGGAGCAGACAGCGGGACCTGGGGGGATGGGATGGGCGGGGAAAGGTGGGGCAGGGGAGAGAGGAGGCCTCTCAGGGCAGGCAGGTCGTGCGAGCACCACGTGCACACTGGGACAGGAGCCCTGGGAGGCAGAAGTGGTGGGGTCACGGCAGGTTGGGAGCAGACAGCGGGACCTGGGGGGATGGGATGGGCAGGGAGAGGTGGGGCAGGGGAGAGCGGAATGCAGAGAGGTGGGGGGACGAGGAAGAAGGGAAATTTAAGTGGATCTGCGGTGCCATTGTGCTTGTGGGGAAGAGAGCGCGAGTATGCGTTTGTGTGTGGGCAGACATGTGTGTGTGTGCGTGTGTGTGTGTGTGTGTGTGTGTGAGTGTGTGTGCAGGGGGGTTTACTCGAAACCCGCTGACACATCGATGCTGACTCAGCACTGGTGACTCAACACTGATCCACTCACCTGATGTCCACATGCATCAGATGCACTAGGTCCCCTGCCCCACACGCCTTCCCCGTCTTTTCGAAGTGCCACGTGTCCAGATGTGATTGGACAGTCGCCTTCACGGCTTGATGGATGGTGTCAGGAGGATCAGGGAAGCGAGACGCTGGCAGGCAAGCGAATGCCTTGGCTACTGCGTCCTGTGGTGAGGAAATACAAGGGAAACGCACTTAAAACACGGGGAGAATGCGAGGGAAACGCATGGCAAACACGGGGAAAACGCGAGGGAAACGCATGGAAAACACGGGGAAAACGCGAGGGAAACGCATGGCAGGCAGTCATCTCGCATGGCACCCTGGAAAACGCAGCAGAGGAAAACACAACCAAAGCTGGTCAGTTCATCAAACAGCCGATGGTGCACCCACCAGCACGCCTCCTCCAGTCCTGCTCCCTCCTCACTCACACCCGTGTGCGAATCCCTCTCCATCACTCCGTGTCATGCAATTACATGTATACAACACAACCTTTCTCACCTCTGACAGCCAAATGTGCACCCGCCAGCAAGCCTCCTTCACTCCTGCCCTCTCCTCCTCCCATCCTCGTACCCACCCCTCTCCATCACTCTGTTTCATGGAATTACACGTTCACACATCGCAATCTTTCTCACCTCTGACAGCCGAATGTGCACCCGCCAGCAGGCCTCCTTCACTCCTGCCCTCTCCTCCTCCCATCCTCTCCCACCCCCCCTCCTCCCGTTTCCTGCGCCTCCCTTCCCTCTCTCCCCTCCCCGTGCATCTCTTCCTCTCTTTCTGCCCCTTCCACCTCCCCCCTGCTGCAGCCTTGCTTCTGCAGCCTCCTGCTGGCTCTGCCTCTCCTTCTCCCTCTCACTCCTTGCTTTCGCTTCACATTCACTTGCTTGCACTCCCTCATCCCACCGCCTCAGCTCCCTTCTCCGGTACCTGAATGGGGAAAGTTGAGGTGGGTGGGTGTGTGGGTGGGGAGATGGGACGAGGGTGCTTATTGTCTCTCTTGCTTGCACTCCCTCATCCCACCGCCTCAGCTCCCTTCTCCGGTACCTGGGAAAGTTTGCGGTGGACTGGGGATGGGGATATGAGCGAAAGAGAACAGTGGCCAGCCAGGGGGGAAGGGAAGGGGGAGGGAGAATCTTCTTTCGAAGAAACGGAGTCATACTGAGAGGCACACAGTTTATGATTCGACTCTGAAAACAGCTTCATCCTGCGTGAAGTTAAAATAATTAAAAAAAAGTCCTTGTGTTCTTTCTTGCACAGGAACAGACTCGTTCTGTCTTCTCCGCCTGCTGGCTGCTGACTGTGCCTTCTCCGGCCTGCCACTCACTCAATCATAACGTGGGGGCCTAGCTGCCCACTTGAGGCTAGCTGCCACTTGAGGCACCTCAGAAGTACTAGCTGCCTGCCTTTGCCTTGGCCATGCAACTCACTCAATCATGACGTGCGAGGCCAGCTGCCTGACGCGCAGAGGCAGCAGCCGACCCTGCGTTGCCAGCGCCAACTGACAGTCTGCCGCTGCAGCAGCAGCAGCAGTGGTAGCAGCAGGTGGGTTTGCAGAAGCGGATGTGTTGTCGGTGGCAGGAGGTGTGGCATGAGCAGGGAGGAAGCGCAGCAGGACTGTTGGAGAGGAGTCAGTCGCGTAGAGAAGGCGCTGGAGGGAGAGTGTGACAAATAAGTAGGGGCAGGGGAAAGAACAAGAAAACATGAATGGATAAACTCTAACGACTTTTGGTATTGAAGAGATGGAATGCACACATGCGGAAGGCAGACAATATGTCGACGAAATCACCCTTACTAACAAAATTTACAGGCGGCATGTCAAGAAATAACTGTGGATTTTTTCTCCTTTTGATTATTTTCCCACACCTCTAGCTGCGCAATTAGGGAGAAGGCGCCACCATGCGCACCGTCATGCCCCACATTGAGCACCATCTGTGTGGCCGGTGCCGACACTGCTTGCAACACCACCAGATAGAGTGATCAAGACCCATTCTCTTTCCCACCTCTAGCCGGGCAATGAGGGACGAGGCGCCGCCATGCACGCCATCATGCCCCACGTTGAGCACCATCTGTGTGGCTGGTGCCGACACTGCTTGCGCCGCTGCCATTCCCACTGCATCCCCTGCTTCCGCCCATGCACCCCCCCGCTCCCCCACCTCCCTCCTCCCACCTCCCTTCTTCCCTTCCACATTCTGCTTTCCCTTCTCCTTGCCCTTCTCGCCCACCTTGCCCTTCTCGCCCACCTTGCCCTTCCCCTTTCCCTTGCCGCTCCCACTCTTTCCTTTCCCAGATTTACCTCCCCGCCTTTCCTTCTCCCTCTCCTCGCCCCCGTCCCCGTCCTCTCCCCCCTCCTCCACCCCCAACCGTCCATACGACAGTTGCACCACCATACTCCCCTTTCCTCCTCCCCCTCTGCCTCCCACTCCTTCTCCTATCCTTGCAGACCCATCATACCCCACCACGATATCCCTAAGCGTTTCCCTCAGCTTCCTGGAAAGCTCCCCCGGCCGAGCCACGCTCGTAGCCTCGGCAACCAACGCTGGCCTGGCCGAAGCTGCGGCTCGGAAGAGCTCCCGAGCTGAAAGCCCCGTCAGGAGGGAGCCTCGGGCCGAGCCTAGCCCCAAGCCTCGGGAAAGGGCACGAGCAGGCGCAGGAACAGGCGCAGGAGCAGGAGAATCAGCAGGGGCATGCGCAGGGTCATGAGCAGGCACAGGTGGTGCATTGGGAGGGATAGAGTTCGCAGGGCCTTTCTTGTGCAATGATTTTGAAGCAAAGAGCTTCAGCTGGATTGGATCGAGGACATAAGGAGCATGGGGTAGGGAGTGGGTCGGGCAGTGGGGCATCTCTGTGTGTTGCGGCTGCACCTGCTGGGCAATCACCTTGGGCGAGCCCTTGCTGCCCGCCCCCACCATCTCCCTCACCGCATTGCCCCGCGGGAACAAGGGCGATGCACGTGAGAAGAGCGGCGGCGCAGGGGGAGGAGAAGGAGCAGAAGGAGAGTGAGAGGTGGAAGCAGTGTTGGGCGGAGAAGGGAGAGGAGGAGGAGAGAGAGAGGTAGTGCGAGGTACATTGGCAGCAGGCAGGTGCCTGGCGTCACTGGCAGCAGGCAGGTGACAGGAGCCGCTGGCCGCAGCAGCAGGAAGGCCACAGAAGTCTGAGAGGCCGGCACTGAAGCCGGCGATAGACGACAAATAGTTCACCGCCAGGGCCTGCACACCCGCCAGGTGCCGCGCTGCCATTGGCGGATGGTGCTGCCAGATGGCTGCTAGCAAGCTGTCGCTGCTGCCCCTCAGCCACCGCGCCTCATCCCCCACCTCCACCTCCTCCTCTTTTTTACCCTCGCTTCTCCCCTCCTTGTTACCACTTCCTTTTCCTTCCCTGTCCTCCTCCCCTTCCTCCTCCCCTTCCTCCTTCCCTTCCTCCTCCCCTTCCTCCTCCCCTTCGTCCTCCCCTTCCTCCTCCCCTTCCTCATCATCCTCCATCACCACCCTCAACCCCCCACTCTCCTCCTCACTCTTTCCCTTCCCGCTGCTGGCCCTCTCACCCCTATGCCTCCTCGCACCCTTCCCCATCCCCATGCGCCCATGCTCATTCACGAATACCACCTCCCCCTGATGCACCCGCACGCCGCACTGGCGGTGCTGGAAGCACAGGGAAGGGGGGATAACAGTAGAGAGCAGCTGAAGGGAGGTCCAGAGAGGGGGCGCAGGGGGAGGGGGATGGTGGCTGTGGCTGTTGCTGCTGCTGCTGCTGTTGCTGCCTGGGAGAGGGTACTTGAGAATGGCTGGTGGTGGAAGAGGAAAATAGGGATTCTTTGTTGCTGCTCCTGCCCCTGCTCCTGCTGCTGCTGCCTTCCCTTCGTCCTCTCCTCGTGTCGTCCCCTCTGCAAGTTCCCGTCCCCACTCCTTATCATCCACAACAGCAATCACCCCTCTTCCTCCCTCGCCATCCGCTCCCCCTCCTGCTCCCCCTCTTCCCCCTCGTCCACCCCTCCGTCCCTGCCTGCTTCTCCAATCCCAGCCATCCCCCTGTCCCCCTCCCCCAGTCACCAGCCCCATTCCCTCCCATGCGTGCAGGGCAAGCTGGGTGGCGTCTGGGCGGGAGAGGAAGAGCGATTGGGAGGAAGGGGGAGGGGAGGCGAGGAGGTGCAGACCCAGCAACGCGTCCTGCTGGAGAGACATGACTGCTGGGTCGTGGTGTGGGGCGTGCGGGTGAGGAGAAGAGGAGGAGGAGCGGGAGGAGGAGTGGCAAGAGCAACAGGTAGAACGGGAGGAGGTAGCAGCAGCAGCAGCTGCTGCTGTGGTGGCAGCGGAACGAGCCGTCGAGGGACCAGGCGAGAGGGGAGGGGAAGGTGCAGGGGGAGAGGTAGGAGTCGGAGGCGTCAGAGTAGGAGGAGGAGAGAGTGGTGGAGGGAGGAGCGAGGGAAGGGGGAGGGAGGGGAAGAGCTGTTTGTCAACAGGCATGAGCTCTGCTGCCTCTGCTGCCACGGCGCTCTGCTGCACCGTGAACACATTCACTTCGTCGCCATCAAAATCGCCTGCTATCGCTGCACACACCTGCGAGGCGAGTGCGGATAGGGAAAAGGGAAGATAAGTTTGTTACCGCTGCTGCACCGTGAACACATTCACTTCGTCGCCATCAAAATCGCCTGCTATCGCTGCACACACCTGCGAGGCGGAGTGCGGATAGGGAAAAGGGAAGATAAGTTTGCTAGCTCTGCTGCACCATGTGAACACATTCACCTCGTCTCCGTCACAGTCCAATGCTCTATTGCGGCACACACCTGGGGGTTGAGCAGGAGCGCGTTGGCGGAGACAGCAGCCGGCACGCGGCGCACGCGGAACGCCATGAGGTTCTGCTTGTGCAGCGAGGGTGTGCGGTTGAGCAGCAGCCAATCGCCATCCGCCACGTGGCGCAGCACCGTCATCCCCACCATCCTCCCCCCACCACCACCATCCGCACCACCACCACCAAAACCATCACCACCATCTCCGCCAGCACCAGCACCAGCAGCAGCAGCAGCAGCGGGTGCAATGCCTGCAAGCAGGGCTGACCTCACATAGGCTGCAAGGGCAGCAGATGCCCGCTCTGATGCAGAAGGTGCGCCTGGGGAAGGTAGACCTGATCCAGGTGCACCTGAGCCTGGCCCAGTTCCCACCTGCAGGCTCAAGCCACGATCCACCCATCGGCTCAGAGTCACCTTGGTCCACTCTGGCGTGCCGCCATTGGCTGGTGCTCCTCCTGTGATTCCTCCAGGAGGCTCGGAGCCAATGAGCACGCTGAACGCACCGACAGGTGGCAGGACGTGGTTGGGTGGGCGGGGAGGGCGGCGATCGGGCGAAGGGGACGGTGCAGGAGGAAAGACTGCATCACCGGGCGCTGTGGCTCCCCAGGTATTATTACCTCCTGCAGCAGTGGCAGCAGCAGGTGCAGTGCCCCAAGCCCCACCACCCGTGCCCCAGCCATCACCACTGGTACCGGCAGCAGCAGCAGTAGCATCACCACCCCATCCACCAGCATCACCACCCCATCCACCAGCATCACCACCCCATCCACCAGCATCACCACCCCATCCACCAGCACCATTACCACCTGCAGCAGTGGCAGCAGCAGGTGCTGTGCCCCAAGCCCCACCTCCTGTGCCCCAGCCACCACTACTGGCACCGGCAGCAGCAGAACCAGGAGCAGTACTGCTGTTCCCTCCCCATCCACCAGCATCACCACCAGCACCGGCATCATTGTTCCCCCAGCCCGAAGCACCAGCAGCAGCAGGGGCAGCAGCAGCAGGGGCAGCAGCACCACCCCAACCACCACCACCATTATCACCCCCATTCTTTCCCCAGCCTGAAGCACCAGCGCCAGCATCAGCAGGAGCATCATCGCTGGGAGCATCATCGCTGGCAGCAGCAGCACCACCCCAACCACCAGCATTACCGTCAGCAGCAGTAGCCGTGGCAGTACCGTCACCACCACCCCAACCCCCGGCATTACTGTCAGCAGCAGTTGCAGTGGCAGCACCATCACCACCACCCCAACCCCCGGCAGAACCACCAGCACCACTCCCTCCCCAACCACCCCCACCACCGCCACCAGCAGCAGCAGCATCACCACCATTGCCACCCCAACCACCAGCGTTACCGCCGGCAGCATCTGCAGCAGTAGCAACAGCACCAGGAGCAGCATCGTCATTACCACCCCAACCACCAGCAGAACCACCAGCACCACCACTCCCCCCCCAACCACCCCCACCGGCATCATCATCAGCAGCAGCTGGGGCAGCAGCACCACCACTGTCGCCGCCCCAACAACCTGCTTCACCGCCAGCAGCACCGCCACCACCACTGTCACTACTACCCCAACCACCAGCAGAACCACCACCACTGCCACCATTCCCTCCCCAACCATCCCCACCACCGCCACCAGCAGCAGCACCGTTACCACCACCCCAACCACCCGCAGAACCAGCATCAACGCCATCCTTGGCAGCAGCAGCAGCAGTATCATCGCCATTAGCAGCAGTAGCACCAGCATCGGCAACACCAGCAGCATCAGCATCAGCAGCAGCAGCAGCATCAGCAGTAGCATCAGCATCAGCATCTGCACCCCATCCATTCACCGCCTCATCTCCAGGCTTCTTTGCATCCGCCTCGCCCTGCTCCCTTTCTCTCCATACCCCTTGTTCTGCCGCCTCTGCCTTGTCCTCCTCCTCCTGACTTGCTTCCACATCTCCCCATCCAACTTGCCCCACTCCCTCCGCCTCTCCCGCCTTCTCCTCATCTTTCTCCCCTTCTCCCCACCCCCCTTGCACTGCTCCATCTCCTTTCTCCTCACTCTTCTCTCCTTCTTTCTTCTCCTCATCTTTCTCCCCTTCTCCCCACCCCCCTTGCACTGCTCCATCTCCTTTCTCCTCACTCTTCTCTCCTTCTTTCTTCTCCTCATCTTTCTCCCCTTCTCCCCACCCCCCTTGCACTGCTCCATCTCCTTTCTCCTTACTCTTCTCTCCTTTCTCCTCACTCTTCTCTCCTTTCTCCTCACTCTTCTCTCCTTCTTTCTTCTCCTCTTCTTTCTCCCCTTCTCCCCACCCCCCTTGCACTGCTCCGCCTCCCTTCTCCACACTCTTTTCCTCCTCTTTCTCCTCTTTCTTCTCCCCCTCTTTCTCCTTGGCAGCAGCGCCAACATCATCACCCCATCCATCCCCACCAGTATCATCTGCAGCACCAGCATCACCATTTCCCCCAGCAGCAGCAGCAGCAGCAGCAGCAGCAGCAGCCTCCAAACCCCATGCACCCCCTTCACCCCCACCAGCAGACGCATCAGCCCCCCAACCACCCCCACCACCCGCAGCAGCAGCAGCAGCATCAGCAGGAGCATCCGTGCCCCATGCACCCCTTTCGCCCCCAGCAGCAGAAGCATCGGCCCCCCACCCACTCCCACCAGCACCACCCCTTTCAGCAGCAGGAGCATCACCACTCCTCCCACCAGCAGGAGCATCCGTGCCCCATGCACCCCCTTCGCTCGAAGCAGAAGAGGCGTCAGCCCCCCAACCACTCCCACCACCTGTACCAGCAGCAGCAGCAGCAGAGGCATCAGCTCCCCACCCACTCGCACCAGCAGCACCATCGCCACCACTAGCACCCCAGCCTGCACCATCATCATCAGCAGCAGCAGCACCCCAGCCTGCACCATCATCATCAGCAGCAGCAGCACCCCAGCCTGCACCATCATCAGCAGCAGCAGCAGCACCCCAGCCTGCACCATCATCATCAGCAGCAGCAGCACCCCAGCCACCAGTATTAGTTGCAGCAGCCACACCTCCATCTCCACCCGCAGTGGCACCCCAACCTGCGCCAGCAGCAGCACCACCACCCCAGCCTGCATCAGCAGCACCACCAGCACCACCAGCAGCACCCCAACCTGCATTAGCAGCAGCAAGCGCACCTCCATCCCCACCCGCACCAGAAGCCCAACCACCACCAGCACCACCGCTGCCACCACCACAGGCGTCCCCTTCTCCTCCGGTGTCCAGAGGCGGTGGGAGGGGCAGCGGGCATGGCCCTGCGTCCACACAGGCTTGCAGGAAGTCGAGGTTGAGATGAGACACAGGCTCCTGGGGAGAGAAGTGTGAGGGTTAAGGGATGAAAGAAAGGGAGGGGCATAAGCTAAAGCACCACAGGCGAGGGCAGCACGGGCGTGCGTCCACACAGGCTTGCAGGAAGTCGAGGCAAGATGAGACACGGGCTCTTGGGGAGAGAAGTGTGAGGGTTAAGGGATGAAAGAAAGGGAGGGGCATAAGCTAAAGCACGGAAGGCGAGGGCAGCACGGGCGTGCGTCCACACAGGCTTGCAGGAAGTCGAGGCGAGATGAGACACAGGCTCTTGGGGAGAGGAGAGAGAGGAAGGGGGAAACAGAAGAGAAAAATGGAAGGGAGAAAGGAAAGGGAGAAGGGAGGGGTCGGGTGCGATGGCGGCGCGGGCAGGGGAGTCGGAGCGGGCAGGGGAGACGAAGTCGGGCGGGCGGGCAAGTATTTTGCAAGGAGCTCAGCTCAGTAGTGGAGGAGCTCAGTACTTTGCAAAGAAGCTCACCTGGACGAAGAGACCAGCAGCGATGGAGTCAGGGACACCGATTTCATGCAGAGCCAGGGAGGGGTCGGGAGCGATGACGGCTCGAGCGGAGGAGTCGGAGCGCTTGCCGAGGATGGCATCGCGAATGAACCCCTTTGAGCGCGCAGAGGAGGAGGTGCTGTGGCCCTTGAAGCGCTGCTCTATGCCCAGCCCTGCCTCGTGCAGAACGGCCTGAGGGTGGTGGGGAGTGGGTGGAGGTAAAGGGAAAGAGTGGGGTGGAGGGGTGCGATGTCGGGCAGAGGGATCTGCTCAGAGCCCTTGCTTGCCAACCAAGTGACATTTCAGTCGACTCAAAAGGCATGACGGCGCGGGCAGAGGACTCGGAGCGCTTGCCGACGATGGCGTCGCGGAAGAGGAGGTGCTGTGGCCCTTGAATCGCTGCTCTATGAAGAGGGGCGCACCTTGTACTGGAGGGAAAGAGGGGGTCCGCACCTGGTACTGGTTGGGGGGCCGCACGAAGTAATGCTGCAGCTCCACCTGCAGCTTCTTCAGCCGGCAGAGCGCCAGATGCAACCGCACCGCCATGCCGCCCCCCTCCTCCCCTTCCGTTCCGCACCTTGCACTACAGGGGAGAAGGGGGGGCGCACCTTGTACTTGGAGGGAAAGGGTGGTTCCACACCTGGTACTGGTTGGGTGGCCGCACGAAGTAATGCTGCAGCTCCACCTGCAGCTTCTTCAGCCGGCCGAACGCCAGATGTAACCGCACCGCCATGCCGCCCCCGTCCCCCTTGGCGCCGCCAAACTGCTCCCGCCGGTGCTTGCCCTTGCCATGGACCAATGCTCCTATCTCTGCGTTCAGCCGCACCATCGCCCTCAGCCTCACTGACAGATAGTCCTGAGTGGGGGATGGCGTGAGGGGGGGGGAAAGGGTGCCAGGAGGAGGGGGGGAGTTATTGAACTGCTCCCACCGGTGCCTGCCCTTGCCATGCACTAAAGCCCCTATCTCTGCATTCAGCCGCATCATCGCCCTCAGCCTCACTGACGGTGACAGGTAGTCCTGTGTGGGGGTTTGGAATGGGAGGAGCTTTGCATAATTGAAGCGTGAGTATCCTCTAGCTGTCAGAGACTGATGGCGCAAGTTCTCTAGCCCTCCCCCACCCCCACCTCTACCGGCACGCGCCACCCCAACCAGCCCACA